ACCAAGGTTCATAAAGTAGAGTATTACCAAAGACCTTTTCAGATCATAATCCTGTGAGTTTGGTTTATAAAAGGAAATCCAGTTCTTTTAGATGGAGACTAAATGAAATGTTGCCACAGAAAGAACAAAACAAGGATGCCCACTGACTCCTCTCATTTATTCTAGTCCTTGTAGTATCGAATTCAGATATAAGACAAGACGAGAGGATTGTGAGAGTAAAGATTTAAAAAGAAACTTATAAGTTAAGGGCTTTTCCAGATGACTTGGTGTTGGTTTTGGAAGATCCTTTAAAGGGGATTGAAACATTAATGGGAAAACTAAAAGAATTTGGTACATTAGCAGGTTTTAAGATTAACAAACAGAAGATGAAGATGTTAACAAAAAACATGAAAGCAGAGGATCAAACAGAAATGATGAATAAAATGGATTTTAAGATTGAGAAGAAAGTAAAATATTTGGGTATCACCATGACAAATATGAATTGTATGTTATTTCAAAATAATGATGTTAAGATATGGAATGAAGTTAAAAAAGACATGTTAAGATGGGAGAAACTAGAACTGTCATTGTTGGGGAGAATTTCTTGATAAAAATGAATGCCTTGCCCAGAATGATATTTTTGTTTCAGACAATACCTGTTTTGACAACTGGTGCAGCATTTAAACAGTGGTAAAAGGATATATCTAAGTTTGTGTGGTAAGGAAAAACCATGAATTAAATATAAAGCGTTACAAAATGCAAGGAAAAGAAGAGGATTGGATTTACCTGGTTTGAAATTGTATTTTGCAGCTTGCTGTTTGGTTTGGATGAAAGAGTGGGTGCTGCCGAAAAACAGAAGGCTTTTGGAGTTAGAAGAACATGACCTGAGATTTGGGTGGGATGGATATTTGTGGTATGACAAAGTCAAGGTTATTGTGGATTTAAAAAATCATTATGTTAGACATGCCATATTGAGAATATGGAATAGATACAAATCCAGGTTGTGTCCGATAACACCTTTGTGACTTTCAGTACAGGAAGCATTTTATAGACAAGAAATAATAGGCAAATACAAATGGCTAACTTATTGTGAGACACTAGAATTTTGTCAAGGGGAATACAAAATAAAATCAAGAGAACAACTGGTGGCAGAGAGATATAGTAGCCAAGGGTTTTCTTATTTACAGTTATCAGAAAGATTTAAAGTAGACAAAAAGAGTTTATGGTTTTGAACATTGTAAAACTGAGTTTGAAATAGAATTGTGTACAAATGATGAACATGTAATTGCT